TGCTTACTGGCCAAATATTTGTATGTCTTCTTTGGAAGAATGTCTATTCGAGTTCTTTGCCAATTTTTGAGTCTGTTTGTTTTTTGTTGGTGAGTTGTATGAGTTCTTTGTATATTCTAGATGTTGATCACTTATCATATATATGCTTTGCAAATATTTTCTCATTTTTGAGTCTGTTTGTTTTTTTGTTGGTGAGTTGTACGAGTTCTTTGTATATTCTAGATGTTGATCACTTATCATATATATGCTTTGCAAATATTTTCTCCCATTTTATGGATTGTCTTTTCACTTTCTTGGTAGTGCCCTTTAATGTGTAATTTTAAAAATTTTGATGAAGTCCATTTACCTATCTTTTCTTTTGTTGCCCATGCTTTTACTGTCATGTCAAAGAAATCATTGCCAAATTCAATGTTATGAAGATTTTCTGTGTTTTCTTCTAAGGGTTTTATAGTTTTATCGCTTATGTTTAGGTCTTCGATCCAATTTGAGTAAATTTTTACATATGGTCCAATTTTATTATTTTGCATGTGGATATTCAGTTTTTCCAGCACCATTTGTTAAAAAGATTGTTCTTTCTCTGTTGAATGATTTTGGTATCTTTGTTGAAAATCATCTGACTATATATACAGGGTTTATTTATGTCTGGGCTTTCTATTCCATCCCAGTGGTTTAAATGTCTGTCTTTATGCTGATCCATACTGTTTTGATGACTGTAGCTTTGTAGTAAGTTTTGTAGTCAGGCACTGAAGATATAATAAAGATGAATAATACAGTACCCATTTTTTTTTCCTACACTAAAATGTAAGCTCCATGAGAATGTAAATTTTTATCTGTTTTCTTCATGTATTATCTCTAATATCTGTACCAGTATATAGTACATACTAGGTGCTAAATAGAAATTACTGAATGAATGATTCCCCCAAACAGCTTAGAGGGTGATGTACAGGCCAAGACAGACATGAAATTAAATAGGAACATTTGATAGATTAGCAGTTTTTCTTTTTTCCTCCTTCCAAAAAACCCTTTATCCAGTCTTAACTAATACAATCTCAGTGCGTGAGTATTCTGATAGCACTGGGATTCAGTGTGTGCACAATTGAACTTCAGCACCCACAACTTGAAGCTGGCTCCCAGACCCCATTCCTAACTGGTTATGTCAGAACTTATCCCCAGGCATTGAACAGTACTCCAGATGAGTTACTTCTGATGTCTTCAAGTGTTTTCGAATCCTCATAGCATGACTATTTTACACAGTTATTACTAAATTTTAAAGTGAGGCCCTACGCTACTGGGGATGTACAAATTAAAGAGTTCTAGAATATTTATAAATTTAGGAATGTTTTAGGAATAGAATGAGAATTCTGAGAAGGGACTTTCAGCTTGGGACCTTATCAGATCTAGGGCCCAACTGTGGCAGGTCGTCACTTAAGGTGGAGCCTCACTTGTTTTGAAGTGGTCCTCTGTTCTTGAATCTTTTGAGGACCTATGTGGGGACTTCAAAAAATTCTTGGGAAAATAGATTTAAAAGAGAATAGGAATTTTTCCATGAGCTTCTTGAAGTACCCTCTGTTGCCTCCTAGGACTGACACAGAATGCCGCCTGTGAAGTTCATGTAGGATAGGTGTACAGGAGAGAGATTATGCCAAGGCTTCCTAAACAGGTATAGAGTATTCGCTTCTCTGCTACAGTACAGAGGGATAAGAGGGTATTATTTCCATTATCTGGGGCTGGTACCTTAGCTTCTTTTAGGTTGTAAGAAACACATTGGCTTAGTTTACCCTAAGGTTTATTGTAAAGATATAGAGCTCGGTTGGCCTTCATGAAAATTTGACATTGTTCAGATACTACGGCAAGTTTAGTGGCCTACTTACCTTTTATGTCCTCTAGTTCATCTGTTATTGCCCACTCTAGTATTTTACACCTTTTTGACACATCTGTGTCTCTGACCTTATAATTTACTTGTACTCTATTTCTCTTGTGACTATAAGCTCTCTAACTCATTTTCTTATTTCTTGTGGCTTCATACTTCTTAAGAGAAAGGATCTGATTGGGTTGTCCAGTTATTCAGTTATTATCCACTCTCATGAGTTACCCCTAAGGCCCCTTCTTCAGTGGTCTTTGGTTCAGAGGCTGATTCCTGGTCACAGTTACTTGTAGTGAGAGTTTTGGTGTGTTTTGTAAATCATGATAATCATACTCAACTGTCTATGGTTACTTTCCTTAGAAGGGACCTGTGTGGCATTGGTAGACACTCTGAGCATCTTGTATCTTTGTCTGTTAATTGGTGGGTCACTGGAGCTTTCGGGTGGAAGAAGTAAAAGTGCCACACATGCATGCAGTGTACTTCCAGCCTCCAAAATAAGACAAAACATTATCTTCACTTGTCCTGGTTCTATAGTCTTTTGTAGAAGTGAGTGTTTTAGAAACTGATAGCAACTCAGGTATATTATACTTCTGTTTTCTTCCCTTTTTATTAGATTCTGTGAGGCTTTTGCTAGAATGAGTGAAGTTTTACTAAATAAGAAAAGATCAAAATATGTACTTGGCATGGGTACATGCAGCTGGACCATTACATAAGATAAAGAAAAGAACGCATTGTTGTGGCTAGCAGCCTTCCTAATACACAAGGAGTTAGAAAGCAGCTCAGAGCACCAAGTCTTTCTGCACATTTTCTTTGGTTGACAAATATAGTAAGCCAAGATCCAGAGACTTAATAAGGGTTTTCTGTATGAAGGACTTCTTTGGGAATGACATGTTTTCTTAGAGGCCAGGTAGCTAAAGAATGACATTTTTTAGGCAGATCTCTCCAAGAGTAGTTGAGAAATTTTGAGACCCTGATAAACCGATTTCTAATGTTTGCTGAAATGCATGAGGAATCAGATGCTGCCTTTGAAAGAGATTGCCATGTGAGTAGCATAACTTGATTTCCTCAGTAGTATAAACTTATCTTCATGAAAATCACCGTGTTATCATTATTTTTACTGTTTCACCAAGGACTGGTGAAAACTTCTTCATGGACTGGAACCACTGGGTTAGATGCTAATACAGCAAGATGGACTCCCAGCTGGTTGGTAACTGTACCCAGAGCATGTCGATGCCATCCTGAAGGGGAACGTTTCAGGCGTGGACTGTATCATGTGGCATGAGGGAGCCACTGCAGGGTTGGAAGCAGGAGGCGAGGCGAGGCTGGGGGGAGGAACACCCAAGGAGGCCCTTGTAGGTGTCGAAAGTATTAGTGATGACTCTGAGCAAAAACGAAATGCTTAGCTATAGGGCTTTATAGCTCTAGGGGCTTTGCTCTGGGATACAGAAGGAGAGTGGGTCCTCAGAACACTTCTCTTTCTCTTGGTTCCTTCCAGTGAAGGCCAGACTGAGAGAGAAGTAGTTAACTTGCTGTACCTGAGAGACTTCGTTGTGCAATATAGTATTTTTCTATCCTCTATGGTTAGTGACTGTAGCCTACACAGAAGGGAAAGACCTGACCTCAGTTTCACTTTCTCTGCTGTTTTAGAGATGCATTGTCTCTGATTTTACTTTTCTTTTTTCCTTCAGGCTGCTTGATAGGGGCTGTGAATCTCAAATCCAGCAACCGAAACCCAGTGGTGCAGGAATTTGAAAGTAAGTACGAGGCACACGCTATAAGGAGAATGGGCACCACCTAATGGACATGTGGTGGTCTTGCAGCCATGCCAGGACACGTATGTCAGGCCGAGGAGATGTTGGGGGGTAGCTGCTCACGTGCAGCATGTCCACAGGCCTGCAGCACACTCTGTGTGGGTTTGTACTGGTCAGCATCAGATTCCTGCCCGGCTTCATGCTCACACACAAAGACATTTATGTACATGCAGCATATTTTAAGGGAGTGTATACTATATGTGGTAAAATCCTTGCTAATTGTCTTTATATTTTTCTGACAAAAACTCATCTTTTCTCAAAGTCTCTTGGAGCCTGGAGGTGGGCAGGTTTCTATGGTGCATGAGCAGTCTCTCAAACTCTACACAGCATGCAGGGTTGGGT